CCAAGCTCTAAAATGCAACACGGCTCAACTGCGCCCCCTACAATATTTCAACAGAGTCCCATCGCGGCTACATTTCACCTACAATTACGACATTCGCCACACATGTGTAGCAACTTGTGACGGACAAAAACGCGTGCTCCAATTCTCAGCCAGAGCGCGTTTCCACCCCGGCCAACACGCACGCCACCGCGGCTCGTCACTAAACAGGAAGTGGCATGCCGGATCACTTTAATTATTATTATTATTATGATTATTATTATGATTATTATTATGATTATTATTGTTGTTGTTGTTGTTGTTGTATTATATTATATTATTATTAGTATTATTATTATTGAGCCCCCACATTCGACCCCACATGCTCAACCTCGATTTTCCAAGGTGTTGTTGTCGAGGGGTTTAGTCACGTCAATGAGAAGGCAGCTTTTGTCCTTCTTGTTCTTTAGCACAATGTCCGGCCTATTAGCTGCTGTGGTCCTGTCAGTGTGGATGGGTGTGTCCCACAGAATAGTGACGCTGTCATTCTCTGACAGTCTTGGGTTCATGCTCATACCATTGTTCCTTCATCTCAATGCCAAACTCTTTGCAGATCATCCAGTGCATGTGTGCAGCTGCCTTGTTGTGGCGGTGGATGTATTCAGTTTTAGCCAGTTCAGGGCAGCCAGAGACCAGGTGGTCAATGGTCTTGTTGCAACGGCCACACAGTCTGCATTCTGGGTCCACATCAGGCTTCTTGAGGAGGTTGTGTGGGTACCAGCATGTTGGGAGGCTTTGATCTTGGGCTGCGATGATAAAGCCCTCGGTTTCTGCCTTGAAGCCAGCTGCTTTTAGCCATCTGTGGGTCTTGTTTTGGTCCACGTCAGCCTGTTTCACCCGTTGTGGGTGTTTGCTGTGGAGCGCTTTTGATTCCCACTTGGACCTGAGCTGTTGGTGACCCTGATGTTTGGCCTTGACCTTTGTTCTGCAGGCATAGGTGGTGTTTGCTTCATCCTCTGCAGGTGGTATTACAGGCATTCCCAGTTCCCGACTGAACTTCACTGACTGTCTGCTGATGGAGTACAAGGATTACCTGTTGTCATGGTCTTTGACAAAGTAGAGGAGGGTGTTCTGTGTCTCCTGGAGGTATTAATCAAGACCGATAGTGGTTGTCTTGTAGGACAGCGCCAGTTGTATGAGCCCTCTACCTCCATCAGTTCCGGGCAGGTACAGCATGACCACGTCAGATTTGGGGTGGTGTATCTTGTACATAGTCAGGAACTTCCTAGTCTTTGCATCAAGTTTGGCCAGCTGGTACTACCAAGGTGTTGATGGCTTCCAGTTTATTTGTAGAGTTCAGCTCAGACTTGAGTACCATCCGGATCGTGCAGTCGTACTACAAACTACAAGTTTACCCCTTCAAAGTAATCCCCCTGTAGTCTAACACACTTCCCCAGCCTTCTCTGCCATGCCGCCATGCACTCCTGGAAGGATTCTTCTGCAGCTCCGTCGTCACAGCCATCTTGATGTCGTCCACGTCTTCAAAACGGGTCCCCTTGATGACCCCCATGAGCCTGGGGAAGAGGAAAAAGTCCCACAGAGCCAGGTGGGGTGAGTAGGGAGGTTGCTCCAGCACGGAGATGTTCTTCTCAGCCAGGAACTGTGGGATGCTCAGGCCATTGTGAGCAGGCGTGTTGTCATGGTGAAGCAGCCACGACTTGTCCTGCCACAACTCTCACCTCTTCTGAATGAAGCAAACACTGCAGGATCTCTTTGTAGACGTGCTGGTTGATCATCTGAAGGGGAAAACTCAAAGTTTGTAGTTTGGGTTTGAAATATCTTTTGTGACACCAGATCTGGAACTTTTCTGACACACCTCGTACATGTCTTACACTTGCTGCATGTTAGATGGAACATCATGGACTATGATCGCTTCTACAAAATCATCTTGAAAAACAAGACAACATGCCTTTCAAACTGGTTTTTCTTGGTTCAGAGGACTATTACAAACACCCTTCAAACAGCCTGTTGTCCTGTTCTGTTATCACCTTTCATTATGTGGAGGGCAACCGGGACACATCCATCACAGTCTGTACATCTGCTGCAACATCTGACAAACAAGAACACACCATCTATCTAATGCCGATGAAAGAACATGCTGTGTAACATGTGTCCTTGGAACATATTTTCATGTGGAGGTGAAGCAACTCGCTCCACATTCTGGATATCTGCTGCAATATGTGACACCTTCATCAGGAGAGAGCCAGAGATCTGAACATCCTGTCCAGGCTGGATCCCTTTTTCATCTCAAGATGCAAACAGACATTTTGCCACTAGATGTCACAATACCATCAATAATGCAGCCTTGTTTTCTGCTCGTTCTCTTTGCGGTTGTGATGTTGTGTACTTGTTACAGTGCCTCCAGCTAGTCAGATCTGTGGTAAAGAGATTAATGAGAAAGTCGAGCCGTTATCAGTGTCTGGTCTTAAATAATATCAAAGCAAACAAATCAGAGGCCCGTGATGTTCTTGTGATTCATCCTGAAAGAGGCTGGAAGGTGTGAAGCTGTACATTTGATTTAAACACCACAAATGCGAAGCTTTCGATGAGATGAAACGTCACAGGATCATGATGAATATCTGCACAAAACTGATTTTCCTCACAGGATACGTGAACCTTTTCTCCTGCTGGTGGTGTCAGAGGAAAAACTCAGAGAACCGTTAAAGCCACTCAGCTCCGTCTTGTGGATCGTACAAACATCTGTGTGAAATTTTATGGAAATATTTTAATGGATCGATTAAAAAATATCTGCAAACCTTCCTGCTGAACACATTTGGAAAAAAATACACATGAAAGGTAAACACTTTTCATATAGATTTAAGAAGAATTTTAGTTTTTTGTGTTAATTCTTATTTTAAAAAAAAGAAAGAAAGAAAGAAAGAAAGAAATTTCTTAACTTTGTCTTTCATGTCTCTTTTTTTTGTCATTTGAAACTTTGTTCTGTGACGTAACTTTCACATTCATATATTTATTGTTCCTAATATATTATTATGTTATGATTATATATTTATTGTCCACTTGTTGTTTTTATCTAATTTATTTTCTCATAAATTAATTTTTTTCTATTTCCACATTTCTTTGCTCATTTTGCAATATTTTCTACTTTTCTCATTTATTTATTTAATTTTTATTCAATCATTTTGTGCTATTTTCTTATCTTTTGCTTGCTTATTTAATAATTTAAAAAAAATTAATATTATTCATTGAGTTTTTTGTGATTCATTTTCTTTCTCATTATCCTGTTTCTTCATCTTTTTTTCATTCATTTATTTTTTCCTTAGATTTTTTTTCATTCTCCTTATTTGTTCTTTCTCATCCACTCAACATTTTCTTTTTTCTTTTTTTTATTTTGCTCTTAAGTGACACCTACAAGTGAATAAAAGAAGAAGTTTGTCTTTATGTGGATGTCTTTTTTGAATCCATGTCCTGTAGTGCTGCTGCCATATTCATTTATGTATTATTAGTTTTTCAATTTTTCTACTTATTTATTCAATTTTGTGATTTTTTTTCTCATTTCCTAATTTCTGTACTTATTTGTCTAATGTATTCCTTAGTAGCATTAATTATTTTATAGATTTTGTTCCCTCCATTTGATTTCTTTCTCCTTGACTGCTATGATTTATTTTCCTTTTTTTTGCCTTCACCCTGAGTCAGCTGGGATAGGCTCCAGGCCCCCAGACCCTAGTGAGGATTAAGCGGTGTATAGATAATGGATGGATGGATGGTGTTTTGTGCAATGATTAACAATTTCTCTAAAACAGGCCTGTATAATGGGAATTCTTCTTTCCTGCGGTCCTCACAGGGATCTGGATTAGTCGAGTTTTCCGTGTATGAATTTGAAGCATCCAAACAGGAACACTTCAGTCAGGTAATTTGGTACAGTCCATAACACTGTAGGGTCTTAACCTTCATCTAATTCAGACACACAGTCATTGATACTGTTATATAAGCCAGTTTCTTCTTGTTTTCTATCTGACATGGTCAAAGATCAAACATTTCCCCTTTATCTATGATGACCTCATGTATTGTTGTGTGTTCTGTTTTTGATAAGATAAAAAAAAAAAAGTCTCAGGGGTGTATCACTCTGTAATAAAATACACGAGGAAGTAAAAACAAGCTCACAGGGAGGCTAAAATCCCCTGAAAGCTGTCTGAGGTTCCCGGTAAAGGAGGATACTTGTGGATTTATCCGTCTGTGAAGCTGAAGTAACTCACACTTAAATTCTTCTGATCTCAGGAAAACAGGCTTAGGTAGAATTACGTGGACACCAAACAAATCCTCCTCTGAAAACGAGCTGCTATTAAACACTAAATCCCACAGACGTGTCGGTTTCGTTTTGTCAGATTTTATTTGAAGATCCCCGAAGTCTCTCGAGGTTCAATTTCAATGACATTCATAGTTTTGTGGTTCGACCGTTACATGCCGATTAAACACTCAGGCCAGGCGTCGACACCACGATTAAAGCTGAGAGCAGAAACAATTCCACATCAATTCTGTGTTATTATTGTCTTATATTATATATCAAACAAAATCAGAAGCAGTAAAACGTCATCCACAAAGTCTTCACAGTGATAGTGCAACTCATGATAAAACACGCATAAAAATTCTCAGTAAAATCACAGAACGAGTTTAAAAAAAGAAGTGTTATAGTGTGTTCATAAGACGATAACGCCGATGACTCCACGTCAGATTGATTCTTATGCGGTGCAGCGAGAAGCTCGGATTTCTCGGCTCCTTCCAGAAGAAGCGGGTTGATCGGAGGCTTTAACGGTTTCGTAGGAAAACCTTTTAGTAGTTGAGGTGACAAACGGAGTCCATGGCCTGCTGGATGCTGCAGAGCGAGACACAAAAACAACATGACATCAGTATGAGATAACAAAAATGACTAAAGTTTCCACCGAGGAGAGCGTCCTTGACTGGGGTCAGACTGATTTTAGGTAAAAATGTGACTGAAATAAAGCTGCAGCTACTGAAAAATAAAATAAAATTACACATTACTTAAAAAAAAACAACAACAACAACAACTGAAGACTTCATTTGCAAAAACAGATAACTCCGCTTTTGTAGATTTTCAGAAAACTTATCTTTTTTCTGTTTGCTTGAGATGATATCAATCAAACTGAAGTTGAGAGGATTTGACTCAGTAGAAACAACAAAAATAGAGATAACTGAAGGTTGATTGATATTGTCTCAGATAGACGATGGACAAGTGGGTTTTCTGAAGGTTTGTGAAGATGAAGTTATCTGGTTTTGCAAATGAACTCTTCAGTTGTCTGCACCAGGACCCCGGCTTCCTTCTGAAGCTGCACATCTTTTAAAAGTGTGTCACAAATATACTGTAATATACCAAAAACATCAGTAGTTTTTAATACAGAAGAAAATTAGTGTTAGCTAAGATTTTCCTGTTGTTAAAACATCTTGAGCTTCATTACACAAGTAATACTTTGTTCATTGGTTTGTTTTTTTTCTTGAAAATAAGATAATAATAGAGACTTATCTTGTCAACACAGCTCAAAGTCTAATCTGGTTATGTATGATGTATGAAACAAAATGCATTAAAGATGCGACTCATGACCAGCTGGGACACACACGTCCACAAAAACACACCACAGTCTGATTATTACTATTAAAACCTGCAGCTTAGTGGAAGTGGTGGAGCGTACCTGTCTGCAGGGTATCCCCTCTCACACAGGTTGACCAGAGCGTACAGATGCCTCAGAGCGTATTCATGCTGAAACACGGCAGAAACATCACATGTCAGAAGCGTCACCACAGTCTGTGATTTATATGGACATTCAGTGGTTTCCCCCCTGTTGTATTAGTGGAACTCGAAATGTCAGAAAGTTCCAGAGCAGAGGGAACGTTTTCTGAACAGAAGCCTGTAGCTGCATGAAAGCAGCAGGGAAACTACAGAGGTTACATGACAGGTTTACCCTTCAGCAAGCTGATGAGTGTTCGCTTTGGTATTAGACGGCATTAAAACACACTATTTCTGATTCTTCTGCTAAAGTCCACGTTACTGTGACACAAAACTTTACCTGCATAACATCTGACACTTAGAGATGACTCATCAGTTCAGACCAGTTTCCTGATATATATACCCTCATATTCATTTACTTCTTGGTCTTAATATCGTTTATTCATTCATTCAATTATTGTTTTGTTCTTATTTACTTTTCCATGTCTTCACTTAACTTTTGAAATATTTATTTTATTATATATATTTAGTGATATTTCTCCTCTTTATTTAGCCATTTGTTGATTCGTTCTTAGTTTCTTCCCCATTCATTTTTTCCTAATTTATTTTCTTTCGCATTTATGCATTTTCCTACTTTCTTTATGATTTATTGTCTTCTTTTATTTTTTCCTTATTTTTGTTTATTTGTTTTTGGACTTTTTCTTATTTATTGAATTTTTTTTATTATTTACATACTTCATTTTTCCCTTTTGTCCTTATTTTGGCTTATTCTTCATTATTCCTTAATATTTCACTTATATATTTCCTTTCATTCACTATATACTTTCTCCTTAATTTTCTTCATTTTTTTTCCCTCCTCTTAATTCCAAAGATCTTCTCAGAGGAAACACTTGCCAACAAAATAAAAACTACAGCTTCCTCTTACTCTGTCCGGTTTAGTATCAGCTGAAGGCAAGACGCCAGATGAATGTACGTCTGAAACCTGCTGGTTCAGTGCATGTGAACCAGATCTGCTGTTTCCTCTTCAGAAGCAGAACCAGACTTCTTGACTCGTGCATCAGTTTCAACCACAAACTACAGATGAATCCGGCTAAAACGGAGACTCATCAACCACAACTGTACATTAAGTTCCGTAACACATTTAAAAATATTTTAAATTTGGGCGGGTCTGGTTTAAATTCACAGAGGTTCTCTCTGAGCAGCTCTACCTCAGTTTTGTGCCAGTTGAAGCAGTTGTATTTGAAGTGCTTGTTAGCTGCCGTGTAGCACCGATGCTGGGAGAGCTCGGCTCTTTCGTTGAGGATCTCCTCGGCCTTCCACTTATTGCCCGTCACCTTCTCCACCACTTGGCGCATCGTCTCGGCCATCACCTCCCTGATCTGAACACACACAAAGATTCAACCTGTCAGGGATCTGGAACATGCTTGGTCTGTGTAGTGAAATCATCCTGAAATCTTGAGTTTCACGGCAGCCATTAGAAGACATGAAACATCATGTTGTGACAAAGGTTTGAAGGTTTACCCTGAGGTGAGTGTTGATCTCCATCAGCAGGCCTCTGGCCACTCTGATATCGTTGGAGATCATCAGCTTCCTCTTGAGGATGGCCAGAGGAACGTCGGGGCTCGGGGTCAGGTCCGGATTTGTGATGGGTGGCAGGTTCATGGAAGGAGATGGTGGGGTGTATTTAGAGGGGTTCCCCTGGAAGGCGATGACTTTCATGTGGGCCAAAGTCTGCACAGAAAGTCAGAAACTCAACAAAACTACAGACATTTTCTCACCATCATGTTTGTGTGTCGTCACTGCTGCCAGTCACCTCGGCTTAAAATGAAACAGCACTTCCCCTCAAATTAGTTTGGCCAATATACAAACTCACAGGGAAGTTCTGGGTTCATGTACTCGACATATTTCCTCCTTTCTCGTCTCTCACCTTGTTTCCGTACTGCTGGACGTGGCTGGTGTTTGTGTGGCTCTTCACAATCTTGAACTGCTTCAGCAAAGTTTCCTTGGTCAGGTCCTCCTAAAAACACAATAAATGTAAAAAAAAAATCACATAAACAACATTAATTATTTTTCCAGCAATAACAAGTTGAACAGTGTAGTGGTACATGTTTTATCTTTTCTTTTCCACTGATGAAGTTCAATCTCTGTTTTGTTTCTATACTGTGAATCCACTGGTGCTGTTGTGTGCTTAAGCAAACATCTGCTCTGATTCCACTGGATATGAATAAACTGCTGTTGGAAACATTCCCCACTTTGATTTCCTGTCAGGTGTTTGGAACAGAAAACTTCTACATATCATCTGAGGAGCTGACGTACGTTTTAGAATCAATCAGCAGAGTAGAGAAGTGAAATCAATACCAAGGAGCACTGAAGCTGTTCTGGCAGCAGCTAGCGGCCCTTCACCTTCCTAAGACACTCTTATGTTGGTTTGTCATTTAATTAATCATCTACAGTTGAGCAATAAAGGCTGAAACAGATGAATGTCAGTCAGCGTCTAAGCCATGAAGCAGTGGTTCAACATTCTGGCAAACACTTTAATTTGCTTTTGGCTCAAGTTAAAGAAGAGTCGCAGGTGGTGAGCTTAACATGACGACAGAAAAATGGACTGCACTAATTAACGCTAAACCTCTCTGATTAACATGATTTCATTTGTTCAAGTTATATAAAAACAAGGCAAAAATTGGTCTTGTTACCAAAGATGCTGTGCCATGTGTTGGCAGGGGAGTAGATGTTGTTATACTAAGCTAAGCTAACCAGCTGCTGGCTATAGAACTTCTATGACAACTCACCACCATAATAATCTCTAAAATGCTAAGTTAGTCCTTTAAAATGTTCATTTAGTCACTGATTAATGTGTTAATATGATGCGTCAGCTTTTCACTTGAATGTCGAAACATGCCATACTCTCACTATACCTCCCATTTTTATAACTGTTAGTTTTTAGAGCAACGTGCAGTGGATGTCGTGATTTGGCAACAAGATAAGAAACACCACCCACCATATCGGAGTCCTCCATCCAGTTGACGCTGTACCAGTCACCCAGGTAGGTGTCCCTCTTCTCGTCATAGTAGCAGGCGTACGAGGACTCGTGAGCGTTGGCTGCTGTGGTGGCGTAAACTGAAAAACACAGAAACAATCTCATGATATGCTGTGAAATATGGTAGCAGAAACTGATTTTCCCGTAGGCATACCTAAACATGACTCATATATCTGCTTAACAGCCTCAGAGGAGAAAAGAACTGGCTTGTGTTGAGTATTTTCATTGACCAGCCACAGTTATTAAACATTTCTTAGTTTTCTGTCAGTTGATCCAATAACCCTCTGAACCCCAGGCAGTGTCAAGGTGATGTCACATTTTTATTCACTGTGGGCTCATTTTTCACTGCAACACAAAGTCCAGTGACCATACAGTCATGGCTAGAAGTAGAGGGAACTCAGAAATATCTTTTGTGCAGTATGACACAGCTATAATACGATAAACAATTTAAAGAAAGAGAAAATAAAAGTAATTTTTTTATTATATATTTTACAGTGTTACCAAAAACCAACATGGTGGCTCCACATACTGTAGATATTTTATTAATTTGAATTAGCTTCCACACGTCTCTTATCTGCTCAACACTGCCTGCAGTTCAGCTGAAAACACCCTGAAGTTTTGTCGAATGACTGTTGGTCGCAGCTGAATCACACACAGCTTCAAAGCTTTATTAAAGCGAGCACTTTTTTTCCCTCCATTTTTTACTGAATCTGGTTCAAGCAAACATTTTATTTTTGGTGAACTTTTAAACAAGTCATTTATAAGAGAGATTGAGTTAAACTGTCACGGTTTTAGCATAAATTTGGTTAATTTTCTCAACCAAATCATACGTCATACATGATTAGTTCAGAGACAGTTGGAGAGTTGAAATTCTTTAAATTTCTGGCTCTGATCAATAAAGTCATTTTGGTAATTAAAAAAAAAAAAACCAAACCATGCCTTTAAACTTGACAGTGGGTTCGGATGGTTAAAAGTGTCATGGGAAGCTTTAAAGTAAACTCATTGAGAAATTAATCAAATTGAAACTTTCATTTCTTTCATTTGGACTAACTCAGCTGTCATTCAGGCCACAAACACAGTGTTTAAAAAACGGAAATCAAAACAGCCTCTAAACCTTGATCTAGGTTCCGTTTACCACATGATGCCACACACATGACAGGGTGCCTACGTGGGCACATTACCACAAGCTGTAATGCTGAGCTCAGTGTTTGAACAGGCACAACAAAGGACCAAGAGTCTACAAGTGAGCTAAAGTCCACAAACCACAGAGCTGACCTCCGTCTAGTCCTTCACTTACACCGACTCCTAACAGATAGAAACCAAACACTGCACAATCTCGGCTCACTGTTTTTTCTTTCCATTCAACATCAAACGGAGCTGAAGCCCAACGGTCCAGAGCAGGATTCAAGTTCATGCTTCTGAGCGGCTCGACAGCGGATGCTTTCTACTGATCGATGCTGCTTCGTTATCTTATCCCTTTACTGGAAAGTGATTCTGATGAGCTAAAGTTCAATTTACCGTCAATGTCAGCGGGCAGGTGGTTCATCATTGACCCGGACTCACATGCTTCAATGTAAAACACCATCTGTGTGGAAGGAAGGACAAAAACAGGAGTAAACATCCGATACTGTGGATTTTTATCTCTGTCCTGGACACGTCCACACATGTAGAGCTAGAAATCAGACGAACGCATGTTGCAGCATACCTTTTTGTATTTCTTATTTTCGTGCATGTATGTAATAGCGTCTTGGAGGTCTTTAACTTGGAGCTGCAGAGAGAAAGAGAGGACAAGTTTAGATGTAATTTACCAGTTTCAAAGCACATAAACCACCATCTCACACTGTAAATACAAGCACATACTGTAGGTCAGCAAATCTGGTGGTATGTGAGCCCCAAAACACAGTTAGTGACTGAGCAAACTCTAACAGCTGTTGTTTGCTCACCACAAATGAATCGAAGTTGACTGTCAAAGCTTGTTTTTAATATTTTTTGTTTCTGTAGTAACGAGCATCGTAGTCGGTTTTAGGCAAACTCCAAAAAGGAAGACTGCTTGTTGTGCTCTGACAGCTAATAATTTAGAACTCTGTTTACAGTCATAGCAGTCTTTAGTGTCTTTGGCGCCGCTTTGGTGCAGCGCTTTGTAAATACTGACACTAAGTTTTACGTCAGTTGTCAAAATATTGGATGTAGCTTAAAATGCCACGTCCTGTTTCAGACGAGATGATTTACATTAAATTCAGGATCTGCAAGCAGGCATCTACAGCGTACGAGCACATTAGTTTTTATATTTTTCTCAAATTATCATCACAAATGAGTTCAAGGTGCCGATTCTTGTCTGCCTCACTGTAAAATAAAACTGCAACGCTCGAGGTGCAGACATGAAACTGGGTGAGAACCTTTTACACTTCTAGAAGCTGCTGTAACTCAGATTTGCAGACGCACATTTTGAAAATACAGTCACAAAATGGCTGTAATTTGAAGCCAAGTCCCAAAAACTATAGTTCCTCAAATGACTACTTGTTGGTAACTGCAAAAACCAAATCAGTCCCAGTAGACCCCCATGTTAAAATGCTTAACTGTACAGCAGGACAACACAAGTACAGGCTAATATGAACACTGCTTATGTCTCTATAGCTAGTTTCGTTGGTCATGTGAATCATACAGGGGGTACATTTGTGCATAAATCACATAGTTAATATGTATGAAGGCTTAAAGTTCTGCATAATTAAGGGCGTGGCTGCTTTACATGACAGGGGGGTTATAGGACAGTTCAGGCCTTTCTCATCCTCATTCATGCTCTCTTTGGTCATGATTAGATTAACCAGGAGTGAGAGCTGTATAGAAAACCTTTGGATGACGTTATGTTGTGTCCATCCATCTTTATATACAGACTGTGATTGAAACAGATCTGCTGCTTTGCCCTAAATAAGATAATGCAAAGAAAGTGTGGCTCCTGATCGTTGCCAAATGTCACTGGCCAGTCTCTCACTTGATCAGGTTTTTGTGGTGAAGCATGAATATGCAGAAAATGTCAGAAGACTGACTTCAGTTTCTGTCTGCATATGGTCATGACACATGACTGATCATAAGAGCCACGAATATCTGACAAAACAGGTTCTTAGTTCCTTGTTGCTTTTACTGGAAAATATACAGTTTGTCTGTGTTTGTGGCAGTGAGCAGGAAGTAGAAACAGTCCTCACATCATCATTAGGGAAGGCCAGAATGCCAGGCGCTCCGTGGTCGGTGAAGTACACAAACACATAGTCATTAGGACCGCTGCCAAGAAAAAGAGAACAAGGTTAGAGGAAAAAAAACTTGATGAACCAGATTTGGTGTTGCTCTGGTGTCTTCTCTTGGCTTTCTTTCATTACTTGCCTCTTCAACACTTTTCCAGAGCCACCTTTAACTTTTGAGGAGTCGCCCTTCAGCACTGCCAGGAAGTTTTCTGGAGTCACATCCTGCAGTAACAGTTAACACTCAGTCAGGAATCACACGTTTTACACCAAAGTCTTGATGAAAAACATTGATTCAAGAGCTCCGATTTGCACTTTCATGCACATGTTTGTGCTGGAGCACTCACGTCCCCGGTGTAGTCTTTCGGAACTCCCTTGTACACATCAGTGCCGTTGGGTCTGTTGATCACAATCCCGGGGGTGGGATTACTGGAAACAAAAATATGACACACATAAGGAAGTGCAAGTGGCTGACTAAACACTTTGACAAGATGACAGGCAAGCAGATGAATGATAATGATTCACCGATCAGGTGACGAAGCCTGGCTGGTGGAAACCACACAACACTTGAGGATTGTTCCCTTTCACTGCAGAATCACTTTCTGTACCTCTAATGTACAGAACGCTGCTTTCGTTGCTTTTCATTTCTAGTATTTGATCAGTACGTGAGGCCACCGATTTGTGTACTCTGTAACAGGAACTACCTGCGCTCTTGTTTGCAAGTAACTTATTAACTCCAAACCCAGTTGATGCAGATTACAATGTCTGCTACACAAGAGCATGACACAGGTATAAAACAATCAATGTCGCACAACAGTGGCCTGAAGCTCAGCCTACCTTTTAAAACATAGATACCGATATCAACGGACATCAAGGTGTGGAAACAGTTAATCGCAGCTGTAGAACCACATTCCTCATCCTATCACGGGTTATTACTGTTACATTAACACACAGCCTGCATAAAAGTCTCTGTCCACACATGGGTTAACGTCCAAAACAAAGAAATGGCAGGTATTTCTTTATTAACAGCATACCAAGAGGTAGTGAGTTGAATAATCAACCTAAAAAAACATCAGCAAGTGTAAAAAAAAAACAAAAAGCAATCTTTCCTTTGGTCCTTTAACTATTCAACTGTGGAAATAATACCTTTGAATCAAAATCACTTCATTCTACATGTCTAATTAAAACATTTGGAAACAAATACAATCTTTGCATTAAACAGATTCTGTCAAAAACTAAACATTATGCATTCCTCAGTGCCACCATGACTGACTCAGCTGCAGCAAACAGTCATGTGACAAAAATTCAGAAACTCTTCAGCTGAACTGCAGACTGTGTTGACCCAGTAGATAGAGACAGAGATAAATGGGAGCCAAGCATGGAAATAAATAACATCTATGTAATAAAACATTTATAGCATGTACAGTCACCATTTCCCCCTACATTGATAACACCTGCTGGCACTTGGAAAAAGGTTGTACATGTTGAGACCAGTTTTTTTTTCAATTTGTGTAAAATAAATAATCAGAGAAATTCTATCTTTTTTTTTTAAAATAATTTGTGGCATTACAACTGCATCCATACAACACAAAAAACATGTTTGGGTTCTCTCCACTACTAGCCATGGTTGTGCTGTTTCCACAGAGGCACAGGACTTAGCCCACAGTGAGTGAAAATGTGACTAAATGTGTGTTTAATCGAACAAAAGAAGACGTCTTGTAAAGTTTTGCAGCCATGGCTGACTATACGGAGCTGCATGTGCAGAGTTTCTGTATGGGAGTTCTTTTATTTCACATATTTGATCAGATTTTTGTGGTTTAATGAAAGCAATACTGATAAACTCTCTTAAATCAACACTGAACCTAACAACTGTTACTGCTGAACTCTGGGGTGTTGTAGCTTTTATGTTTCAGTGAGCCTGATTCTGATTCTCTTTTCACTCCTGCCCCTCCGTCAGTATTAGAACTCCAACATCAAAATTGCTTCCTTGTGACTCCTCTTAGCCAGACTCTTCCACTCAGTCCAGTGACACGAGTTCGACAGCGACTTGAGAAATGCCAGCATAGGTTTTTTTCTGTGCCTCGTACTTGAGCAGACCGTCTGTTAAATAAAGCTGCAACTAGCTACCACTTAAAATCCTGAAATGTGCCTATTAATCCTCCACAAGCTAAAGACGATGCCACCAAGTTTATTTTGCTTCTAAAACCGGAAGATACTCAGTTTACCATCAAACAAGGTGCTGCTGACATTCGTGCTGCTGAAATAAGTAAATCTTTGAGCAGTTTTTCTTGAAAAATGACTTCTATCAACTAATGAATAAACAGTTCTTATGTATATACTAAATTCTGATCATTACTCTCATTATTTATCAGTTTACGGTCAAACACTACAGGCAAAAATCTTAATTTAAATACTGAACATTTATGCACATTAGCACAAATATTTTAATGTTTAAACATTTTAGAAAACTTGTAACACACATTTTTGACAGAAGGATTTGTTCATCTATAACACATTGTGTGATTGATAGGACATTTTATTCCTATAAACATGACAAAACTGGATCTTTCCTGGCCGTATAAGGTATTTTCTCATTTATGAAGTGACAAAAATAGAATTCAATCTGTACAAGTGAGTCAAAGCTCTAATGTGTTGACAAAATTAAACAGCCTGGATTTATTCCGTTTTCAGAAATTTATGTTTTATTTGCACTCATCAAATAATCAATTAGTAGGCTGAAAGAAACTTATTCCGAAAATATTTTTGATAGATTATGTGAAAAGTGCCAAATATTTGATGGTTCAGGTTTCTCAAAGAGAGAATTTATAGATTATTTTTTGTCTGGTATTAAACTGCTTCCGGTCATTTTATGCGTGGAACAAATCAGTTAATAAAATAAACTTGAGAGATTATTTCATTCTCCATCCATCCATTATCTATACACTGCTTCATCCTCACCAGGGTCACGGGGGGCTGGAGTCTATCCCAGCTGACTCAGGGTGAAGGCAGGGGACAGAGACAGACAACCAAGCACACTCATATTCACACCTACGGACAATTTAGAATCACTAATTAACCTCAACATGCTTTTGGACTGTGTGGGAGGAAGCCGGAGAACCCGGAGAGAACCCACGCTGTACGGGGAGAACATGCAAACTCCACGCAGAAAGAACCCGGACGTAAACCGGCAATCTTCTTGGCAACGGTGCAAACCACCGAAGCACCTTACAGCTCCTATTTGGTTGGTGTTGGTTGCAGTCATTATTCTACACACATACACTGTAATAAAACATTACTTAGACTAACAAAAAACACGAACATTGAAGTATTTTGTTTTAGTGCAATATATGTTAAAATATAACAATAGCTTCAGTAACTCACTTTGAAAAGAATGACTCTTTGTAGAGTGATTGAGGTGATTTTGTCGGGAAGAACATCTGCATAGAAAAAGTCGTCTGAAGCCTTTCTCATGTCGTCTACCACAGGCAAAGTTTTGCTGCAAGACACAGCACCTGTTCTAGTTCAACATCCTCCTCTCTGTAGGAGAAACAATCACCTGATGTTGCTTTTTTCCCCTTTTTGCACAGTTTCCTGCCTGTTTCTAGGTCAGTTTGCTTTGCAGGTGTGGAGCCTGCATGTCAACAAACCCTGTCTTGTGAATTAAAAAAAAAAAAAAGAAACCTGAAATCCGAGAAGGCTGTATCAGACATCCTTCTCTTGAAGATTAGTCATGGCCGAGAGAACTCTGCAAGTTTTTGTTGTGTGTCATGTAACTAAACATTGTGGCAAGATGTATTTGAGGTAATTTGCCCTACTTCTTTTTGCTGGAACTATATATAGGGCAGTTTTAATCTAATCAATGCCATTAGGCTGTAAAATGCAACGTAAGAAGGCTCATAGAGACATCTGTTAACCAACCTAACTTTAGTGCCGTGGGGTTTTTGAACAGTTTGCAAGAAAGGAGAAGTCTGTCCGGAAAGAAAAAAAAAGCCAACTCACTCTTCATTTTGAGCCAAGTCATCGTACATCATAACCACAATCTGCTCATCTGGGATGCCATTCTTGTGGACAATCTGGTAGGCATGGCACGCATCGGCCTTAATGGAAAGGAGAGGAGGCACATTATCACAGTTAGTCTCTGGAAAAACACCAGCACAGGCTTGCACTTTGGAGAGGAAGTGGCTTATCTGGAGTAAAAGTGGATGTAATTAGAAACCAGTATGGACTGAGTGAGAAAAACAAATGAGTCATGTCTGCAGCAGCGGGTTCCTCCTGCTCTGGGCCTCTCACCTGGTGTCTGTAGTTGTACCAGCCGTTGGATCCGGCCACGATCAGAACCCAGTGCTTTCCACCTTCTGGCTCCTGGGTGGGAAATCCAGCAACCAGCCCGAAGCTCAGGCCGAGCAGGGTGAGAAGGACAGGCGGACGCATTTCCTCGCTGTCTGTGGGGGTTCCTGTGTGGATGACAAGGAGGGAATAAGAGCTCTAAAACTCAGACAGCGACGCACAACATTAACATCCGTCACATGACAACGCTCCCACTCTGGGAAGCAGCAGCTAGCCGGTAGCAGCACAACACGCTAGCTGGAAGGACAAAAAACGACTTTTTAAACGCTCGGAGCGCGTCCAAGCTGATTAGACGCACTCTGAAAGAATCACAGCAAGTTTAGAGACTCACAAAGACGTGTTTTGTTACCTTTCTTGTGTTGCTGCGTTGACGGAAAGGTGGAGAAGCGGCTACTCCAACATCCCGAGCTGCACTTTATACGTGACGTTGGGAAAAACCGTTGACGGGAATTCTACCGCTGCAGCCAATCAGAGCGCTCCGAGGGCTCCGGGGGCGGGGCTTCACTGTAAACAGTCATGTGGTCTGAAAAAAGATAAAAACACGCAGCAGCATGTCTGCTCTGTGGGCGAAGTGGAACCAGATCACTGCTGAATAGGGCGAATAGGGTGAGGTGAAAGGAAACGAAAGGAGCAGGTTGTGCAAGAGAGGCTGAAGACTCTGAGAAAGTTTTACTTTTTGATCTTTTTTGAAACCTTAAATGTATTTGTGACAGCGCAAAAACCAAGATTCCACATTAGATCAGGTCTAGATCTAAAACCACTGGATATAGACAGGTCAGATCTGGATTAGAAAGTCCTCTATAGTCTAAAACCTCTTTAAGATGCAGTTTCTGTTTTGTGAAACTTTAATGTTAAAATGCAAAATGGGATATCTATCTATCAATCTATCTACAGAGCTTAACAAATGTATTACACCCCCACTCAATGTAAGGTTTATGCCACAGCTGCCCTAAATGAACAGCATTGGTCATTACTCAAATCATTTATGTAATGCTTAATACACCAGTATGTAGAAGCTCTTTAACTGAAATTAAAATTTAAATGCTAAAATACAATTATCATTGTTATCCATGGACTTTCACACTCACGGTTTAACCAAAAAACAGAAAAAATAGTAAAGCACATTATTATTTCTTAATTAAGATGTCATATTATAGTCATTTACTTGCATTCCTGAACAGAAAAATAATAGTTTAAGCATATATATATAGATTTATAAAAGAGAGAGAGAGAACAGAGACAGGGCAGGGAGAGATACTCATTCAGCAGAGATATCAACCAGACCCACTGTCTTTCTATTGATCCACTCCACTCCCACCTGGACTTGTGATACTGCATGTCTCTCTCTGTGTGTGTGTGTGTGTGTGTGTGTGTGTGTGTGTTTAAGAGAGTGCACAAGAAGAGTGTGCGCTTGCATTTGTGCTCGCATATGTGCAGAATTTTTCCTCTTATAAAGCTGTCTGCTGTGACAACCAAACACACAAATCTTGGCTTTGAAAATTAAACAAAAGCAAAAACATCAAACATTATAGTCGTCAAGAAAACATGAGAAAGCAGTTCAAGCGTACGTAACAACTTCCTGCACTAAGGAATTTCTATAGTAATATTGCACCAAATTGTTGTATTCAGCTTATCACAACAGTGTAAAAGTCACATGACATTATTCATGACAAGTCTTATTGTCACAAAAAAAGAGATTCCCTTGCTTGTTTCATATCTGGACCACATTAAACCAGGTCTACCTTTAACACCTCTACATATAGATTGGACAAATCTGGACTAGATAGATTGTCACCCTGAAAAACTCATAAAAACACAGTTTCTGATTCGCAAAACTTTTATTCTATGCGTGAAAATGCAAAAGATAAAAAATTAAATTGACTGTAGACCACATTGGACTTGATCCAGATCAAAATCCACTATTTATAAACTAATCAAATCTGGATCAAATCGTGCCAGAGAGGCTAAGGACACTGTAAAACACGGTGTCTGTTATTTAAACCTTTATTATATTTGTAAAAGTGCACAAAAGACAGATTTCTTTTGTTAGTTTTTTTTTGTTGCATGTAGACCATATTAGATCAAGTCCAGATCCAAAACCCCTCAATCTAGTTGATTAATATCTTACTAGATTTTCCTACAATACACCGTTTCTGACCTATTATAATAAAATAAAAAAGGAAACATAAAACACACCTGGTCTAATGCAGTCTACATGTGAAAACAACAATGAAAACTCCCTATTTTGCACTTTCACAAATAAAGGTTTTGCAAACCAGAAAGTGTGTTTTAAGGAATTATTAACCTCTGTAGGATAATCTAATCCTGATTTCATTATTCTATATACAGTGGTTTTTGATTGGGGTCTGGTCTAACAGGGTTCTGATACAAAAAAAAAAAAAACTACAGTAAAATGTTGTTATTTTCATTTTCATAATAGAATAAAGGTTTTGCAAATCAGAAAATGAGCTTGAAAGACTCTCTAGTTTCTCTGCTATAATCCAGTCCAGTTACGTTTTCCCAATCTTTTCCCTTATCTGCTGAATCGGAAGCTAACTTTAGCGTCATGCGGGCCCAGTGTGATGGATTTTGGAATCATAGTTTCAAAACAACACATTCTTGCTGAATAAGGAGTTTGTTTCTTTATTACAACATCCCTGCAGCAAAAAGTGATTGTCTGACAAAAACTGATTGCAGTCTGCGCTGCTTGTTAAAGCTGTTTTGTCCAGTAAACATCCAAACAATCATAAAAAATCATCTCTTTTGCAATTTTCCTCTTTGCCCTGGTTTATAATCACTCCGGTTCTTTTTACTGGTTGAAAATGGCTTTAAAGGACCAATTTAACTCATAAAAAGGAAACTTTCCACTTGTCAGAAAGGGACTACAGCACCAATAGTGTGCAGGAAAGTTTATTAAAGCATCAAAATGACTTGATTTCATTCACGAGGATTTATAATTCGTCTGCTGACCCCTTGATGAAGCCAATTCTTATTTCAGGTCTGTTCTTGGATGAAAGTGGCTCTGTGAATCTTTAAAGAGCATCACATTTATTCTACTCGTGGGAGGAAATCAAAAGAAGTGGTTCTGATGGAAGTTAACGTAATATGTTGACAATAGAAATATACCATTTCATTTCTTCTACAAGAATATACGTATACAAACTTCACTTTTTATTCTTAAAATCAGAGTCATGTTGAAGGTCATCCATTAGTTTGAACAAAATACAATAAATACTTTAAGAATATCTCCTTTATTCTATCTTTCCTGTGTCAAAAGGGAACATTTTTTTTTAGATTTGACATTTAGTTTTACAAAAAAAAACGTGTAAAATTTGTTCACTTCTAGTGCACATATTCGACTGAAATTTAAAATAGAAATGTTTTAAAAGAAAATATATATTGTTCTTAACCCAGTTTACTTTACATTTTGCTTACAAATTTGCAGTCTTAGTCAATATTAAAATGCCAGGTTTAGAGGTGCTACTCACACCTGTGCTTCTCAGGGAGTGCAGGATTTTAATTTCACATTCTTTTCTTGTCATACAGATCAGGTAAGTCGGTTTAAAACTAGAGTGCCTCCTCTTTTGTTTTATATCCATTCATCCATTATCTATACACCGCTTAATCCTCACTAGGGTCATGGGGGGCTGGAGTCTATCCCAGCTGACTCAGGGTGAAGGCAGGAGACACCCTGGACAGGTCGCCAGTCTATCACAGGGCTGCACTTAGAGACAGACAACCAAGCACACTCACATTCACACCTACGGACAATTTAGAATTACCAATTAAACTCAACATGTTTTTGGACCTTGTGGGAGGAAGCCGGAGAACCCGGAGAGAACCCACGCTGCACGGGGAGAACATGCAAACTCCACGCAGAAAGAACCCGGACGCAAACCGGCGATCTTCTTGGCAACGGTGGTAGCCATGCAGAAAGATCTCGGGTGTCCTCCCCGCGAACTTCTTGCAGCGAGGCAACAGTGCTACCCAGTGCTCCACCTTGGAGCCCACTGTCCGGTTCCTGCTTCTGTGCGACTTGTTTTTATGTATTGTTTCATCTCAAGAACCTATTATTCATTGAAATACTTCAACTTTTGGTACGACAGTGTTAATTTATGTTATTTCTGTTTTCCCTTGGTGAGCTGGATCAAAACAAGCAGACCGGATTATAATTAAAACTGTGTATTCCATTAAAATGAAGGTGTTGCTCGGATGTATTCATGTGTTTTTTTTCAGTAAGTTAAAATCAGGAGGATTTGTTGTTTGTGTTGCTTCTACTTGATCCACATCCGACATATGACGCAGTAAGTTTTCAAAAGGCTTCGTGGAAGATAATAGTTCTTCACACAGGCCAAAGTCCAGTGCAGTCAAGTGATCACTGTCGACAAATACATCATAAAATAAACAACAGTGTGATGTAAGTGCTGATTAAAGTTTGTCCTTTGATGTACAAGCAGCTGAATGGATGCGTAAGCAGGTAGAAGAGGCGCATTAAAGACAGCAATAAATCAAACTTTTATTTCTGCATATAGAAAAGAATTAAGTTAAATAGTGAAACAGTCCATCAAAAATGCGGCATCTTGTTTTCAACCAATGGTCCTTAATACATTATCCTTTGTCCCAAAATGAAAAAAAAGAAAAAAAAAAGTGTAAATACCATGTTCACAGTAATAAATATTGAAAACAAAATCTTTTATACATTAACATTATATATATATATTTGTGTAAATATATATATATATATTTATAGATATAATCATATACAGTAAAAAGTTATTTTCAAGTTTATCAAACACAAAATATTAAAATAAAAATGGCTGAAAACAGAATAATGATTGCATTTTTTTTTTCATTCCAAAGGCATCGGTAACCATGGCCATTCAGAGTCTGTAATAAATAAAATGTGATATTATCTAAAGATTGTAGTGCATCACTGTAAATTAAAAAAAAGAGAAAAAAATATATAGTGCAAGTTCTTTTTTTTTTTTTTTAAATCTTTGCGCAAAGTAATCTTGCAAACTTTTCAAACTAATCCCAAAAAAAAAGGAATGATGACAACGAGACAGAGTGGCAGCACCGTCGAGTCCAGACTCCTCTGCAGACTTGGCAGCGAGAGAGAGAAAAAAAAAAAAGCTTTCACGTGTATGAAACCATGGCGGATTTTCAATAGACTTATTTGGCAAATTATTTAAGGACAAACAGAAGAACAAAAAAAACAAAAAACCTCCACGCGCTCCGTACACTCAGCTCTGTCAGTATTTCCAACATAACTGTCGATGAAATGCATAGAAATCAATCACCAGTAGCGAGAACTAACTTAACTTAAGGGTTTTGTTTTACTGTCATGCAGCATTTTCTGAGACGCGAAGCAAGGCAGATACTGTGGGTGTGTGTGGATGCGGTAAAGCATGTTGGGTAAATGTATGCTCTGCCTGT